CTGCCCCAGGAAAGTGACCACCAAGGGAGATGCCATGACCTTGGGGGAAGGGGCAGGGGTGCACCAAGTTGGGGTGTCCCTGGACAGCCCTAGAGGATTTTAGGAGCTCTGAGGAGAGAGAGCAAAGCTGTTTCTGCTCACCTCTGCAGAGGCAGGAGTTTGTTCCAGAAAGAAGGCCCTCGCCCCACCAGAGTCAGGATAGCTGGCCCAGTCCCAGGCCCTGCGGTCATGCCTAGCCCTACAGGGGCTGCCCTAACCCTGGCCTTGGAAACCTGCAGGACCTGGCATAAGATCCCTTCTGCATCTTTACCCTGGAAATGCCTGCACCCAGACCATGCAAAAAGCGGCAGATTTTTAAAAGGCTGGTTTTTCCCTGTGGATGGAATGAACATGATTCAGCACAAGCAGTCCAGGACCGTGGAGGCCAGGCTCCTGCAGGCTCACTGCCTTCCTGCCACTCGGCAAGGGCCCCAGACGGCACCCACAGGAGGGGATCTCCGAGGTGCCCATGGAGGCCGGGCGCCGTGCCACTCCTCTCTCCAAGAACACCACCACCTGGCAAGCTGCCAGGAACAGCCAAGCCCATGGACATCGTTCCCAGGAATCCAGTCATGTGGAAAGCAAAGTGCCAGCTCTCGAGGCCATGCTAACACACCTGATAAATGAGCCTCCAGTGCCATGTGGCTCTCTGAGGTGGTGGTGTGATGAGGTCTCTACCCTCAGCAACCTTTGACAGTCTGACAACAAACAGACATCAGGGGAAAAACCACATACCAGATGATTAAATGTGTAAAACCCAGGCAGGACCTATAATGCAATTGGATATCAGAGGCATGGGCTGACATGGCCCAGGATGGTGGCCTTGGAAAGGTAAGGAGCATTCCAGGTTGAGGAAGAACAGATCAAGGCCAAGGGTGGTGTCTGGCTGCCTTCTAACATACTTGCCTAAGAGATTTTCTTAGGTGGGAAGTCAGAAGAAAAAAGCAACCTTCAAAGGCCCTTATACTCATCTCTCTGTCTCCAGGTAGGAAAGACCACTCAGTCTCTGGGTCCCCAGGAGCCTCCAAAGCCTGTCCCGTGTCCAGCCACACTAAGTCCCTGGGGCCTCTCTCTCTGCATTTGCTGATGTGGTTGATGCTCTCAGGTGGAGCATAACGCCAGTGCTGCCACCTGACTGCAGAGGCTGAAGCAGGAGCCCATGTCCAGGCCGCACTGCTGCAGGGGATGGCCCAGCTAACACTGGGCTGGCTGTGCCAACAGGGCTGTGCCACGGTCGGGCAGTACACCAGCCCAGTCACACACTCTGTCTGGGAAAGCAGAGAGGCTGGTGAACACGAGGAGGGGGACACTTCAGCTTGGTGTATCCCCAAGAAACAGGTATCTTATTCTGGTGCTCCATGAAGCTGGCCGACAACCCAGTCTAGATTTTGGGGAACTCAGAGAAACTTGTGGGCTGAAGGGATGATACCCTGCCCTCCAAGTACTCTGGCACTTGCCCTCTCTCCATGACCAAAGGTCACTTTCTCCCCAGGGCTCCTTAAAGATGGCAAACCTGAGTCCAAGATTAGGGAGAGACATCTGGAGAAGGGTGAGGCTTACAGGAATGGGGCCTGGGGAAGCGGAGAGGAGTGACTTCTATCAGCAGCTGGCTTATTTTATGCCCATGAACACTGGCTCCGATCACTTTTGAACTTGCAGTGAGCTTTTGATCTGGACTGAGCCGGGGTAGGCAGACAGAATCTAAAAACTCCTTGGGCCTGTACTGAGAAAGGTCATCAAGACCCTGCCAGTAGCCTAGCCAGACCCAAAGTAGGGGAGATTCTCTTGTTTTTTATCATCATCACCATGAGAAGGTGTCTTGAATTGTAGGGCCAATGCAATGTCATACACTTTGTAGCATTTGCTCTGCTTAGCACCAGATCCCCTTTGGGAAGTCTGGAAACACAACTCAGAGAGGTTATCTGCTGGGTCCAAGGTCGAAGCAGACAGAGGGCCAGAAGGCATGACGCCCTAGCTGACCCTCAGCTTCAGGCTCTTCTGACTTTATACTATACCTAAAGGGACAGAGATTGTTCTCTGCTCCTTCAAGGCAGCTTCCTGGCCTCCTGCCTGCACCCCTGGCCACAGCTCAGGATTGTTAACATTAAGCAAGCCTCCTGATACCTCTCCAGCAAGTGACAAGCACAGACAGGCTGGAGAGTCTCCAATCAGGGAAACCACCCCCCAAACCACAGAAAGAGGAGCATTCAGAAGTGGCATCAGCAGCTACCATGAATTGTCACACGTGGTCCTGGGGTCCCTGTTTCCATATCTTGAGCCTGTGGCAAGTCACATAACAGGGGGCAGGCAAAACAGACTAGAACATAATCTGAACTTAAGAGTCTATGAAGCCTCTGAAATTCTTGCAAGATTATGTATGTTGGTGCATTTGTCTGCAAATAGTGTCTTTCAGGGCCTCAAAAAGCTCAAGGGCTTGGGGAAGTTAAAAACCTCTGGGACTAAAACTCTGCTCCCCTCCAACCCTGGGGCTCTGGGTATTCACAAACTTGCAGCTGGAGAAAGTACAGTGCAGTGGGGGCGGCTGTTACTGTCCTGGCTGCGGCAACTGCCCACTTGTCCTGTGCATCGATGCCCACCCTGTGGTCCGGCACAACATCCGAGCAGGACTGAGTACCCTGAGCTCCGTATATAGGCCGCTGTCTTTGCCTTTGCGCTACTAAAGAAGCTCTCCCTGGCCTGACAAGCCCCTGTCCCCACCCCCTGAAGCCCTTGGTGTTTTCTGTCTCTCAGTGACTGCTCATTCTCTTTCTGAACATCACCACCTCCAGACTAGAGGAGGAAACCAGAAAGGAAAACACAGTTTGGGAGAAAGAGTCAGTTCAGTGCACAGCACAGACCCAGTGTAACATTCCTCTATACAGTCTCAGGGTCCTAGAAAAAAATGCCTCGCAGTTTCTCATGGACATTTGGACATCCAGTGTTCCCCTCCCACACTGCTCAGAGCCTGTGACATTTCCTTGAGGGGCTCTGATCTGTGAGTTCCAGGCAACAGGGCAGCCAGCTCTCCAGGCCTCTTGGGCAGGCCCATCGCTGGCTCTGGAGAGGCTCACAGACCTCACACACAAGCCAGAGGTCAAAGGAGCTGGATGTCAGGTTATTCAGAGGCTTTCACAGAAAGGGGAAAGTGATTAATCCCATCCTGCCCCCATCAGACCTCTGGGTCCTGTCACTAAGAAGGGTATCAGGACACCAAGAAAACCAAAACTTTTCAGGAAATGCTCCCCATCTCAAGGACCCTGTGAGGCCACAGGAACTTATCTATTCTCCAAAACTTAAGGAGAAGGAACTTATCTATTCTCCAAAACTTCAAGAAGTGTAATCACACTCAGGCTCTGAGGGATGGGAGGAGGGAGTCCAAGGTGTCTGCCTCCTCCCAACTGGCCCTAGAGAATGCTGGCTTTGTCCTTTTACATTCCAAGAAGGGCTTGTCTTGAACCCCTTACCCATCAGCCCCCTCCACTCTTCTATAGCCCCGGAAGCACAGTGCTGGGGGAATAGCATGTGATCAGCGAGACCTTCTTACTGTCTTCTGTGCAAATGGCATATGACGGTCTGGAAAACCCATTATTCTGTTTGAAAGCAAAAGAATCTCCATAGAGGCCATACACTGGTGTCCAATTTTTGAAAGACAAAGAAATACACATTGCTAAAGTTATGTGTAATGTCATCTTTCTTTGACGATTCAATTCAGAGAAGAAACCTGGGGTCTTGCAGCATATTAGGCATCATTCTGGATGTTTGGAAAAGCGGAGGCAAGAGCAGAAGCCAGGAGTCTTCCCAAGCACCAAAGTCTCTGCTTCCCTCACTCTGAGCAGCACAACCTTTGGTAACACACCCCGGGGTACCAGCACACCAGATATAAAGGGTGGTGGGGTGTGCTGCAGAATCCAGGAGTGAAGATGGTGTCTGATCAGATTTCGGAAGTTCCTCCCAGGAAAATGCTCCTAGAGCTTCTTTCATCAGTGTTGGGAAAACTTTAGAAAGGCCACCTGGGATGCCCCCTCCCCCATCCAGATGAATGGGGTCAATCTAGCAAGAATAAGGGGTTTGGACTCTGCTACCAGCTCAAAGCCAGCGAAGACAACCTATTTGGCCATGCAGGAGATGTGCCTTTCTGCCTCTCTCCCACTCAACGAAATCATGGAACAAACAAATCACCCCCTCCCTCAAAAGAAAGTGAGGAAGGAAAACAAGCCAAAGCCAGGTGGATGACAGCACCGGCTCCAGGGCAGTACCAAAGCAGAGGGACTGGTCAGATCTGCAAAGAACAGGCCCAGGGCAGAGTGCCTGGCAGACTCCTGAAGTTCCTGCCAGAATAGTCACACAGAAAACCAAATCCAGCCCCCCTCTCCCCTCTCCTCTCTCCCCTCTCCACTGTTCAGCGGAGGCTCATGGCTGAGCACCTGTCAAAGTTAGTCATGGGAGATAAACACAGTCTCCCACCCGAACTACAATCCAGGATGCCTCTCAGGTGGGCAAACGGCCTAGGGACTAGCAGCTCACCAGCCCCAGGGCTGTGCCCTTGGACTACCCCAGGGAAGCCGACAACTGCGCATTCCTTGAGGACCCCTTGGCAGGGGGTGACTATCAGTGGGTAGTGGGTAGAAAGGAAGAAAGGCACCCTGGCCCAGACCAGGCATCCCTCCCCGCATTCCCTCCCACCAACCATCCCCGGGGCCAGCCTCCTCTGCCTGCAGAGGAAAGAAGCGGGGGTCATTATTCTGACAGGTCCCCCTCGGCTGGGCCTCACCCGGCCAGCCTTCCTCCGCCCTGCCCTGAGGCCTCAAATTCAGCGGGAGCCCAGGCACCTGCTCCAGACCCGCTACGGCCCCGCGAGAGGGGACCCTGGGCGGTGCCCCTCCGCGCCCGCGGGCCTCCTCGGGAAGGGGCGGGGCGCTCCCCGGGCCGGCGCGCCCCCCGCGCCCCCTACCCGCGCTCACCTGGCGCAGGTGCTGCAGCAGCGTCCCCGCCTCCTCCCGCCGGCCCTGGCGCACCATCCGCAGCAGCTCCTGGACCATGCCGACGCGCCGGTGGTAGGGGGGCAGCCCCGCGCCCGCGCGCCCCGCCTTGTCCCCGGCGCGCAGCAGCAGAGACGCCCAGAAGTCGGGCCGTTCGCGGCGGGGGCCGGGCGCCGCGCCGGGGCTGGCTCTCTCCGCCAGGCTGCCCTTGGTCTGCCGGGTGCCCATGCCGCCGCCGCCCGCCCGCACGGTCCGCGCGGGGCCGTGATGCCGCGTGCCCGGCCGGCTGCCCGCCCCTCGGCCGCCCGGGCGCGCCCGCCTCCCGGGCTGCAACTTTGGGGGAACTGTTGCGCGCGGGCGGCACGGGGCGGGGGCGAGCGGCTGCCCGCGCTCCCTCGCCCCGCCCTCCGCGCTCCCCGGGCGCGCTCCCCGGGCGCTCGCCGCCTGCCGGCCGGCCCCGCCCCGCCCCGCCCCCGGCTCCGGCTCCCGCGCCGCGCCCGCTCCCGCCCCTGCGCCCGCGCAGCCGCGCGCCTCCACTCCCCTCCCGCCTCCCCGTGCCCTCCCCTCCGCTCCCTCCCCTTCCTCCGCCCTCCCGCCCCTCGCCCGGCCTTGGGGGCTGCCGGCTCCCCCTCCTGGCGTCGCACCGGCCCCGCGCCCCCTGCCGGCCGCCGTGCTGCGTTTTCCAGGGCCTGGGGCGCCGAGCCGACAGGAAGGGCAGGCCCCAGGGACCCTCACTCTTGGTCCCCACCAGGTTCCCCAGATGCTTCTACGACCGTGCGAGCGAGGGTCAGGCCCCCGAGCATTGCAGGCAGGCGGCCGTCCGCCGGCGAGATGGGGAGACTTTGGAGTGTGTGTCTTAGCTCTGGAGTCGGGTTTCTCATGGTGGGTTCCGCTGAGCGTCAGCGCCTAAATCATCTGAGGCGCTGGTTAAAAATGCAGGCCCCTGGACTCGTTCCAGACCCACTGAAGGAGAAACTCCGCGATGGGGCCCGTGGACCTGCATTTTTAGCCAGCCTCTTGGCTGATTCTGAGGTACACCTTTGATACTTGGCCTGCCTGGGGCGGGTGGGGGAGGTGATGGTTGGTGCATGAACTCGAAAACCATGCGCAGGGGTGTGGTGTGCGTGCCCTCTTTTGGAGAGTCCATGTGCTGCTTCCCTCAGTCTCTCGAAGGGCCTGGACCATCCAGGGCTAATAACCACCGACTTCTCTTGTTCTCACCCACACCTCTGGAGAAGGTTCCTCGGGGTCGTCTGGTACCAAAAAGCAGAGGCATGTCTGCAAGTAGACCCAACTGCCTGCTCCTACTGACCCCTCCCTCCCCTGCCACCTCTGTCAGGTCCAGCCCTCCGGGGGCTGATGGAACTTGCAAAGCCCACCAGGGCCCTGCCTGAGAGAAGGCAAAGACATCTGGGGGACCTTCCCTGTAACAGACTGAAGACTACCCCGGTAAGCTGGGGGGCTGCCCTGGTCTCAGCCACGGGGCTGCAGGAGGGGCAGCAGTTCTGTGCGCTTGCATCTGACCAGGCCCTGGACGCTGCTTTAGAGGGAAGGGACAGTGGCGGGCTGTAGGAGCAGAAGAGCCGGATCCCAATCATAGAGCCCACCCTGTGCTGAGCGCCCAGCATCAGGCAGACAGTAAATCCTCAGTGACTTCCTCTCATGTCGGGATAACTGTCAAGAACTGGCAAGAGTACAATGAGCGGGACACAGAAACTCCAAGCAGAGTACAGGTGCTCTGCAAGGCTCAGCTCCATTTCCTCGCCTGTGAGCAAGCACTGGTCTTCCCATAGGTGTGTGGCCGTCAGCCCCGAGAACCTGGAGTGCGAGGCACTGTGCCTCCCCCACTCTCAAATGCTCATCTCTGCCAGTGGAGAAGTCTTCTGTGAGCTGGCTTCATGGGGCTTAGAGCAACACCTTCCAAACTTGTCTGGGCCCTCTGTGTGAAGAACACACCTGTTGGCATCTCCAAGGAGCTCAGGCTGGGAAACAGGTTGGTACCTCTCATCCCCTACCTGCAGGACCACTTGGCAGAGAGGCCACCAGGAAACTTGCTGACCAGATCCCTCCCCAAGGACACTGGCTCCACCACCTGGAGGCTGACTACAACCTGAGCTGGCAGGTTGGCCTTGTGAGGGTGTGTACACAGGTTGGGGCCTTTTGCCAGTTCAGTGCAAGAAGGCCTAGGCCAGACGCACCTGGGTCATCATCTTTCCTCTTCTTCAGGGACAGATCCCAGCCTGCTTCTCCTTGCTCTTAATGTTTTTTTTTTTTCAACTTTCCCCTGTTTTCTGGCTTGTTCTCCTCAGTATATAATCTGCTCAGATCTCTTCCATCAACTTAGAAAGACAGCTTTCATTTGCCCCTATCCCCCCTGGTCAACAATGCCCCACCTCTCTCTTTCCTTTTCAGATAAGGTTTTTGGAAATACACTTATTGTCACAACTTTTTTTCCCTCCATTCATTCCTCAGCTACTCCAGTTTGGCTTCTGGCCACACCACATCATTGAAATGTCTTGCCAGTGACCTAGTTGCTAAATTCAGTGGCCGCTTTCAGTCGTCATCTTATTTGATTTTTAAGCAGTATCTGATCAAGCTGCTTACTCTGTTTTGATTGAAACTTGACTCCCTTGCCTTATAGGGATCTACTCTCCCCCAGATTTCTTTCTCAGGTTCTCTGGGGGCTCTGCTTTTCTTAGGCCCATCCTTTATCTGTTGTTGGTATTACCCAGGGTATGTCCTAGACCTCCTCTTAGGCCATTATTTATACTCATGGCTTTACCTGCCACACACACACACACAGATGACTCCATGTCTCTCTTCCCAACTCATAAGCTAATGAGTTAGCCTGTCACTGATTCACGGATGCTGGGAGAAGACATGAGACTTCTGGGCCAGAGGCATGACTCTGTTACTCGGGCACACACAGCACACGGCATGAGCTGAGCATCCACATATCTGGGCATGCTGGGACCAGATGGAGCTCCACATGCCCCAGGTTTGCATCACGGCTGAGGAACACTGAGTCAGAATCTACTGCTTATATAGGAAGCAGCGAGAGAGCCTGGGGGGAAACAGTGCCTCATCCCTCAAGGTTGCTGGCTACAAAGACAACCCTGCATCCAAGTGTACAGGGCACACAGCAGGATGTGAAGGAGGGCAAGACCCACGGAGAGTTATCGCTTCCAGTAGTGGGCACTTCCAACTCAACAAATGAGCACATCCTTGTCCAAACCTTGTTCCCACCCCTCCTGCTCTGGTCTCTGCTTTTCATTAGCAACATAGGCCAGAAACCCTAGAGTCATGGTGCACCCTGGTCAGTCTCAGTGTCTGCATCTGGCCAGCCAGGTCCTGTTAATGACGCTAAGGACTGCAGCTCCCATTTGTGCATATTCTCTGTTTGCTTGATCTGCTGCTGTGTCCTATGCTATTTCATCCTTTCAACAGCAGTGAGGTCCATTTTATTATTGTCTTGATTGCACAGGTGAGGAAATGGAATCTTAGATTGAGTGACTTGCTCAAGGTCACACAGATAGTGAGGGACAGAGCTGGGATTCACACTTAGGTCTATCTGACTTGAGAGCTTATTTTTTGAATATAACTGTATATCATTGGTCTAGCTGTTTAAATATTACATCCTGCAGCCACTGCCTTGTTGAGGATCCATCATTTTCACCTCAATTACTGGATTATGGTGGCCCTCTTTCTAAATTGTCTCCCCACCTTTAGTCTCGCCTATTCTAATGTGTCTTCTATGGAGCAGTTGGAGTGATCATGGTAAAAGGGAACACACACACACACACACACACACACACACACTCTCTCTCTCTCTCTCTCTCTCTTCCCACCCACTGTGATCCCTGTAACTTTCAGTCCAAACTTCTTAACATGGCATTGGTGTCCCCTGGGTGCTACACTGTCCTCATGTCCTTCAGTATCATCCCATATTACCCCTCTCACAAGGTGCCATAATTTGTGCCTTTGCACATACTGCATCATCTTCCTGGGATGTCCGTCTCCTCTTTAACAGATGCCTAGTCATCCCTTAAGACTTGGTTATGTGTCACCTCCCTCGGGAAGCCTTGCCTGACTGCTGCCCATGCCCTCCTCTGTGTGACTATACATATGATGATATGTTATGATACCTCTTTTTGCAGAGGAAGAAGCTGAAGTTTAGAGAAAGTAAAGAATTTAGCTAATGCCTCCTTGCTAGTAATTGGAGAGCTGGAATTCAAAACCAAGTCTGCAGTGCTTTAGAGGATAACAGTGCTCAATCTGTATTTTAAAAATGTTTGTTTGAAATGTTGTTGTCTTCCCATGGCTGCTGTTTGAGTATGAGAGAGGGTCTGGGCAGGGGGTCGCAGAGAGGAAGGCCCAGAGGCTGGAGGCCCCGGGAAGGCAGGTGGGAGGTGATGAGCCTCTGGCAGGGCCCAGGCAGGCTCAGGCACCAGCTCTGGGAGGACAAGGAGGAAAGATGCAAATAGGTTTGCAGGTGGGGAGATGTCAGAGGAGTTCTTGCCTAACGGTCTTATTTTTTTTTCCAGTGATGGGGGCACGTGCTTGTGGAGAGGGGCCACAGTGGGTGGCAGCTGAGAAGACAAGCAGGAGGGGAGGCCAGGCAGGCGGGGGCAGCCTGGCACAGAGAACCTCTGGGAGTCAGGAGCTCTGAGTGGTGCATGAGTCCAAGAGATTTGCCCCAGGAGCTCCTGGCTGCTCCAGAGCCAGAGTCAAGAAGTGAGGGGTTAGATTGCCTGGTGTTGGGGCTTCTCAGGCATCTAGGTGACAGGAGGCCCTGGAATCCTGTCAGGGAAAGAGGGAACACCAGCAGTCCAGGAGGGGGCAAAACATACTTCAACCAGCGATTCTCAAACTTGAGCAGGCATCAGAGTGCCCTGGAGGGCTGGTTAGAGCACCCGGCTGAGCCATCCTCACTGCCCCGGGGCCCGCGCATTTCCAGTGAGTTTTCAGCTCTTCTGACACCTGCTGCCTTCTTTTTTGACTTTTAGGTAAATGCACCAGGCAGGTCCATGAATGATGACATGTACCTGGATTGTGAAGCCCTCTATTTTTGTCTTAAAGTCTGCCAGTACAAGCAGCCCACCTGTGTGACATCCCCAACGTCTCAGATGTCAGACCACCTCTTCTCAAAAACCTCAAAGCCCAGGACACCTTTCCTAGGCCTCGGGCAGAGGATGCTTTCAGGTGGTCAGGAAAGCAGAGAGAGAAATGGCCTCTGAGGAGAAGAGCCAGCAGAGGTGCAGGACCACCAGCCTCCAGGTCCCCCGAGTCCCAGGCTCTCTCCTTGCAAACAGAACTCCACAAGGATGTGTCCTGGGGTCCATCACCTGGAGCCACTGAGAACCGTGGACAGGCTGACTTCACGCTTTTCCCCTCTTCTCTTCATTGCCCATGCAGTTTGCTCTAATTTAGTTATTTAGTCAGTTGTGTAATAATGCCTGTGAGCTCATCATCCAAAACAAAGCCAAGCCAGGCCAGACCCATGCCAATTACTGACATTTCATCCATTGCCCCCATCCCTGAATCCTGTGCTCACTATTCCATGCTTTTCTCTATATTATTTAAATATTTCTTTATATAATGGAGAATTCCAAATATACACAAAGTTAGAGACTGGTATAGTGAACCCACATGTCCTCATTATCTTGATTTTAACTTTTCAGATGCCCGATCTTGTTTTATTCATTTCCTCTATTTCCACATTTTCTGATAGTCATACTGCATTTGTATGTGTTCCCAAAGGGTATCTAGTTTTCATTTTGGTTGTTCAACTTTATCAGAGGGTGTCTTGCTCTCTCTACTTTTCTTCAGGGCTACTATGGTCACTTAATACTGTGTTGGTCAGAATCATCCTTGTTTCTGCCTGTCACTGTGGCTCATTCATTTTGATGGTGTGTAATAGTCCACTGTGTGAACGTACCTTCGTTTATTCTCCACTCTCCCACTCATGACCATTCGTGCTGTTTCTAGCCTTTTGCTAGCGTGCACTTACGAATATTCTTATATGTTCTTGTCATGTACCTGGTGTGCCTCTAGGAGTGGAATTGTTCACTTTGGGATTAATGCTGGACTGGTATCCAATTCTCTCCAGTGCTGGTTATTGATAGCTTATTAATTTTTCCCAATTCCTTTGCCAATTAAAATGGAATCTCACTGGGGCCTTAATATGCATTTCTTTGGGAGTTTTTAATACAATAAAAACTGAAACAAATATGCATTTCCTCAATAACTGGTGTCTTCTCTTGGGCTGTCATAACAAAATAGCATAGACTAGGTTTGGACATGCTTGGGACCTGTCACCCCTTCCTTCTTTCCTATTTCTCCCCTTTGGAATGGGAGTGTCTCTTCTAAGACACCCAGTCTATGGCATTTGCATGACATCCACAGTGATGAGAGGTAGTGAGAAGCTCTAGGGTTAGGAGCCAGGGCTTGAATTACACAGGCTTGGTTCTAACGTCCCATGCAAACACTTATCAGCTGTATAACCTTGGGCAGGTGGTTTAACTTCTCTGGGCTTTGGTCACCTCATCTGTAAAATATGAATTATGATTGTACCCACCTTTCAGTGTTGCTGTAAGGACAAAATGAGATGGTGTGTGTCACTGCTTTACACAATACCTAACCTATACTACTTCACAAATGGCAGAAGGCAGAAGCAGACAGAAACTTAAATAGATAGCCACAAAGACAGCCTGGTTAAAAAATGGGCAAAGGACTTGAATAAACATTTCTCCAAAGAAGATATATGAACAGCCAGTGAAAACAGTTCAACATCCCTACCTGGAAAATGCAAATCAAAACCATGAGACACCACTTAATGAGCATTAGGATGACTGCTATCAAAAACAGAAGCAAAAGCAGAAAATATCAAATGTCAGGGAGAATGTGGAGGAATTGGAACCCTTGTGCATGTTGGTCAGATTGTAAAATGGTGCAGCTTCTGTGGAAAACAGTATGGCGGTTCCTTAAAAAAATTAAAACTAGGACTATCATATGACCCAGGGATTCCAGTCCTAGGTATACACCCCAAAGAATTAAAAGCAGGGACTCAAACAGATATTTGTACAACCACATCCATGGCAGCATTATTCATAATAGCCCAAAGGTCAAAGCAACCCAGATGTCCAACGATGGATGAAGGCATAAACAGAATGTGGTATACGCACACAATGAAATATTATTTAACCTTAAAAAGAAATTCTGGCACGTGCTGAAACATGGACAATTACTGAGGGTATTGTGCTGAGTGAAACAAAACAGACACAAAAGACTGATTCCACTCATCTGAGGTCCCTAGAGCATCAGATTCATAGAGACCGAAGTCAGAATGGTGGTTGCTGGGGGCTGAAGGAGGACAGAATGGGGAGGTAGTGTTTTTTTTTTAATGGTGTATAGTTGACATTATATAATAACAGTTTCAGGTGTACAACATAGTGACTCAACATTTATATACATTAAAAAATGCTCACCATGATAAGTGTGTTACCATATGTCAACAGACCGTTATGACAGTATTATTGACTATATTCCCTGTGCTGTCCCATTCATCCCTGTGACTTATGTATTTTATAACTGGAAGTTTGTACCTCTTAACCCCCTTCCCCATTTCACCTATTTTCTAACTCCATAGGAGTTACTATTTAATAGGTACAGAGTTTCAGTTTTGCAAGATGAAAAAGTTCCGTGGATGGATGGTGGTGATGGCTGCACAACAATGTGAATGTTCTTTGCCCTACTGAACTGTACACTTAAAAATGGTCAACATGGTGTATTTTATGTTTTGTGAATTTTACCACAATTTTAACAAAAATGGACAGCCACAGGACTTTAGTCATGGGCAGGGCAGTGCCTTCCTAAAGGGGTTCACACAGTCCAGAGTGTGGGAATGAGCACCATGTGTCCTGGCTGCTGCTCCTGCTGACACACCTACGTGGCCCCTCTGAAGACGGAGGTGCTCAGACTGCACTGAGCTTGGACATTAGGACAGAGTTTGGGGCATCAGCCAAGTCACCTGAGCCTTCCCTCCTTGGGCAGCCATTAGCCAGTCCCCATTTAGAGCCCTCAATATAAGTGACACACCAGTGGGTCACCACTTCTTGCAAAACTTCCCTCCAAAAAAGGGCTGTCCCACCAAAAATGAAAACAAAACAACAAAGAAGAAGAGCCTCCGCATCAAAGGACTTGCTTAGACATTTCTGCATTGAAGACATACAAATGGCCAACAAGTATATAGTAAAGATGATTGATGTCATTAATCACTATAGAAATACAAACCAAAGCCACAGATACCACCTCACACCATTATGAAGGCCATCATCAAAGGAAGAAGGAGGAAAGGGAGGGAGGAAGGAAGACCAAACATCACAAGTATGAAGGAATGTGGAGAATTGGAACTCTAGGGCACTGTTACTGGGAATGTAAATGGTGCAGCTGCTACAGAAAACATTATGGAGGCTCATCAAAAGATTACTAATAGTGCCACCATATATCCCACTTCAGGATATTTATCCAAAAAGTTGGAAAACAAGATGTCCAAAAAATGTTTGCACACTCACATTCATAGCATCATTATTCACAATAGCCGAGAGATGGAAACCTTAATGTCCAACGATGCATGAATAGATAAAGAAAAGGTGGTATTTACATATGATGGAATATATCCAGCCTTAAAACAGAAAAAAATCCTGTCATATACTATAACTTGGATGAACCTTGAGGACATTATGCTAAGTGAAATAAACCAGACACAAAAAGACAAATACTATATGATTCTACTATGTGAGTTCCACTTATATTATCTTATATTCCACTTATATTATCTAATGTAGTTGAATGCATAGAAACAGGAAGTAGAATGATGGTTGCCAGGAGCTTCGGGGAGGGCAAAGCAAAGAGTTATTCAATAAGTATTAGAGTTTCAGTCATGGAAGAGGATAAAGTTCTAGGGATTTGCTGCACAGCAATGTGCGTGGAGTTAGCAGTACCATAATGCACTTGAAAATTTGTTGAGAGTAGATTTCATGCGTTTTACCACAGTTTTTTATTGCTTCTCTTCTCACCTATGGCAACTGTAGCTTGATTCACTGATATACTTATCCCTGGGAACCAAGCCCTATGTGAGAATTTTCACCAGGTACCCTTGATGTTCAAAGAAAAGGTTAATTGCCCTCTTGGTCCCCTCCAAAGGAGAGGCTAGACTGGCTGTTCTGACAAGATCCAGTAATGGAGGAAATTGCCTTTTCCTGGTTTCAATTGCTCCTAGATTGTGGTTTATTTATTTAATAAATATTTATTGAGTGTTTATCATGTGCTAAGCACTGTGCTGGGCTCTGAAGACATCCTAGTGGATAAGAAAGACAGGACCTGCTGTCAGGGAGTTTACTGTTCAGTAAGCAAACAGGATCATTTCATAAGGTGTCAGATGTCATGATGGGGATCTGACAGTCATGGAGGGGCCTTAAAAAGGCGTCTCTGAAGAGAGGATGCTTGTCTTGAAACTTAAAATGAGAATAATAAAGCCAGGAGGAATGGCATTCTGGGGAGTGGAAACAGTATGTGCAAAGGTCCTGGGGCAGAAGAGATCTTGGCATGTCTAGGGAACATAGTGAGAGAGAGAGTGGAGCTGGGAGAGGTTGCAGATGTGGCCAGAACTGGTCTTTGCAGGGCTTCCTGGAGCAAGAAGGAGCAGGAAACTGCTAGCTATTAACATGCAAGTACCTCAGTGAAGGATAGCACCTAAGGGCATCCTTGGGTTCTCAGCCAGGATCTGTAACTGGACACCTGCGGGACTCAAAGTCAGTGGTTCTCAAACTCGCCCATGCATGTGAATCACCTGGAGGCCTTGTTACAGCGCACTGCTGGACCTCACACCAGAATTTCTAATTCAGTTGATCAGCGTGGGGCCCAGAATTCACATGTCTACCCAGTTCCCCATGGAGGCTTGTGCTGCTGATCTTTGAGCCACTTTGAGACTCATTCTCTAAGCAAGTCACTGCTTCTGAGTCCTTTTTTCATCTGTAAAATCGCCCTTCTCTCCTGGTTGCTGTGATCATCAAGTGAGAGCATGGGAAAGCCCTTTGTAAAAAACAAAATAGAACACGTAGAGGGGATTATCAGCTTGGTGATGTGTGATCATCACCTCCAGCATGTGTTTCCTTCACAGCTCACAGAGGAAGTTCACATATAACACCAGCGGCTGACTGCTTAGGAGCAGTGGCCACTTCATCCCATTTGCCCTAAGTATGTCTGGCTCTGCCTGTGTGCGGTTGGCGACCACCAGTGCTGGAGGGATGCCTGCCTGCCCTGCCCTGCCCTGCCCGGATGCGCTGTGTCCACCCACTGACAGAGACTCGGCGCTACTTCAGGAGTCTCCTTCTGTTTGCCAGCCCTCCTCTCCTCCCCCTCCTCCCTGAGAACGCTCTCCCGTGAGTCATCCGGGAGGCCCGGGAGGCGGCTGATGTTGCTCGGCTGCTGCTATCTGGCCATCAAGGGGACAGAGAAGAAGCAATGCCTCCTAGGGCTGGCTTTGAAGAAAAATCCCATCGATTCACAGACTCCTGGAAGGCTAATCTCTAGCATATGTGTATATGATATACATTCGATGTGTACATTTTTATTTGTAGTCACTCACAGATTCAACATACATCTGTTGAGTATCTGTTACATAGCAGGCATTGTTTTAGGCTCTGAGGATACAGCAGTGTACAAAACATCAAAGTCCCTTCCAAGGACTTCATATGTGTGTAATGTTCACTCACGGAACATATACTGAAAGCCTACTATAAATTCATAGTTTGGCAGGGCAGACAAATTTATAACAAAATAAACAAAATAAAGTATTCTAGGGCCTGTGATGAAGAGAAACACAGAGTAGGGCCCAGTGAGTCACAAAGGAGGAAGGGGGCCCTTAAGAGATGTCCAATAAACTGGATAGTGAAGGTGAGTGGCACTTTCCAGGTTGACTAAGGGGAGGCATTCTGTCAGGAGGAAGCAGCATGTGGTAGCTTGGCACATTGGGCACCTGCCATGGTTCCATAGAGTTGGAGTGTAGGGTGTATGGGGTAGAGGGGATGCTGGAAAGGTGGGCAAGGGCCTGGCCTGGAAGGGCCATAGGTGATAAGGATTTGGGGCATAATCCTGTATTCAAGGTCCTGAAGTGTTGAAAGTTTCGAGCCAGAGAGTGATTTGACAGCACTGTGTTGT